CAGTAATTGCTTTTTATCCAGAAAACATATTCTGGGTTAGACATCTAAGATGCAGCAAGAGGATTAAATGTAATGGAAACACTTAACATAAAAAAGTCCAGTCCAGATTATACAGGCGAATTCTAAGCTCCCAGAGAATGAGTCTACCTGAGTACAGAGAGCTGTAAATACCTATTAGGTCTCTATGCATAAGATCATATTCTCTACATCAAAAGCCACAACACATGTTCTATCCATGACACGGGAAGCATGATATCTGTACTTTCTTGGAGAATCTAGGAAATTCAGTCCAAACCCAGGAATTTAATTTTTGGACTTCAGCATGAGTATTTGAAAGTATGATAAGATTTATATCCATTTAAGGTTTCTCTGTACTGTTAGATTTTGTAGATGGAGAATCTTCATGCAATTTATTATTAATGCAGTTTTCCATCTAATTTATTGTTAATTAATGTTTTCATTTAATCTTCTTGCTTTTGGAAAATATAGTTTTGAAATGATCTGGAATAGGAGTGGTTTTGAGTAATGCTCTGTTCTGATCTGTTCCTGAGTGTTTGGGGGCAAAATCTGCACTACCCCCTAGCAGTCCTAGAATACCCATAGGAGAGTGGTGGGCATTGACAGAGTGACCTCAAGAAGATAGGAGTCTCTCCAAAGAAGTGGGTACTCTCCTGCATGAGCATAATCTGAAAGGTTAATCCCAATAGGCTATGAAAATAAAAAGGTAAGAAATATTAGTGGAGAATTTCCATGAGAAGTGATTTTTACTAAGTATTTCTACTTCTTGACTCCCTTATTCTTTGTATGAAAGTGGAATTACTTGCCTGGTCATTAGGCTACAGCCACTGATCCATGTACTCAAAAATATGTAGCTTGTCTTTCAAAATTCCTAAACAGGGGATTTGATTTCTGATAACTTGTTTATGAATCAGTAGGATAAAGCAATTTTTATAAGTGAGATTGTTCTACTTAATTTCCTCTCCAATGCCTTATTTAAAGATCTAGCCTGAGTGAACAGAAATAATTTAATACAAGTTCTCATCCTTAACTGATTTTTCCTACTGAGATTATATTTAGGTTCTCTGCTGACTCTTTTGTCTTATTTTGTAATTGGTTCAGAAATTAGGCAGAGAAGGGAGATGCTATTTATGAGATTTTCCTTCTCAAAGACACTAAAGGTAGATATTATTATTATTATTAATCTCAATTTGACAATTGAGGGAACTAAGGCAGAAAAAGACTATGCAATATGTTCAGATTTGTACACATGAATCTGGGTTCAAACTGATTTTGTCTTTTATTTTTTTTTAGAGCAAGAGCAAAAGTGGGGGGGGGGGTGAGGGGCAGAGGGAGAGAGAGAGAAAGGGAGAGGGAGAGAAAGAGAATGAGAATCTTTAGCACCCTCTACCCTCAGCATGAGCCCAACACTGGGCTTGATCCCATGACCCTGAGATCATGACCTGAGCCAAAATCAAGAGTTAGATGTTCAGGTGACTGAGCTAGCTACCCAGCCTTCCTGGTGCCCCTGTCTTTCATGTTCTTAACAAGTACAAGATACTACCTTTCAATTACAAGATGCTACCTTTCAATTATTACCAAAGAGCATAATTAGTTATCCATATAATGACTATTTAATTCCATTTTACAAAGCAATTAGCTAGAGATATAGATTATTACCACTTGGATTTTTAGTATCTATTTCTATAAATCTTCATCTTGACATATTTAAGGATCTCTATTAAATAAAACTCTAGGTAGTTACTCCTGCCAAAAACTAAATGAAATTTCTAACATTGGTCTTAATAATTTTATTTAGAAAAACAGTGTTAGAAAAATAACACATATTTGTACAGATTCAGTCTTACCCACAGGGAATTGACATGTCAGATGTTATTTGCTACCAATTGAAGTAGCAGCTGCCAAAAGCTTAATTGCCTAGACACAATTTTTCACTCCCTGGGACACATTTTTCACTCTTCTTCAATTTGCTATTTGGGATTCTGATTTATATTTGTGTAAGTGACTGCTATAGAAACTTATTTACATTAGGGCTCTAATGTTCTCAAGTACTTTCTCCTTCTGGCACAATTTCTTTTGTGACCTTGGATACCAGAGATTGGTTTCCCTCTGAGGAACAAACCAGATAAACAGGGATTGTCCAATCTATAAAAAGATATAGGATGTTTTTGTAACCCACCTCCCAGCTTTCTAACATAACAACCACTTCTCCATCTCCTTCTTCCCACCAGTTGCCCACCATTACCTAGATATAACTTTCTTTTCCTTTTTAGTAGCAAAAACACAGATTCTATATAGATGTCTCTAATCCAAGATCAATAATTACAGAAAAGATCCTGATACAGTCTTGATCACCTTGGCAGTGTCCTTCTGAAAAGGAAACTGATCCCTGGTCATCAACAGAGTTGTTGACCAGAGAAATCAGTTGCAAAAAAAACAGTTTGTGAAGATCATTACCATAAAAGCCAACATGCATAATTTCTCTTCCAAATATACACTTTCTTTGCAAAACAATCCATTTCATTTCTTGGTAATTGCATTGTATGTGTGTTTCTGCTGTCAAAAATCAGACTGATGAGCTATTAGAATGTTCCTGTTTCATGGACCCTTTTCCCTTTCATTTGAAAACATCTTAGTTGTCTCCCTGTGTTGTTTTCATTATGAATCTATCAAAAACAAATATTCTGATTATGTTAGCTGAAAATTTTAATGAAAGCCTATTAGGCTTGGCATAATTTCATGCTAAATCTACAGTAAAGGGCTCTTCCAGAGACAAGGCAGAGTGAGGTGGATGTGCCCTTTCACAGAAGAGAGTTCCTGTTTTTGCACATTTTCAGACCAGAAAATGCCCTCATTACTGCCTGTGGTTATTGGGACTGAGCAGGGAGGCTCATGTTTAGTAGGAGCCCTAAGATGATTCACCTGGGTTCACGGAGGTTCTTGTATTCTTCCTGAGAGAGGATCAGCATTTCTTCTAATATTCACTTCACAAGCAAAAGGGTAAGAAAAGGGAATAAGAAAAGGAAGAGGGCATGGCAGAAAGGGATTAAATGGATGGGACAATTAGGAAGATACAAAATTACAATCCTCACAGAATGAATGTCAAGCAATATTACTAGAGGGGTGAAGGTCAAAATTTCCAAAAGAGAATATTGACTTTAGAGCTCCTGATAAAGCTCTATGTTCCTGTCTCTATATTTCACTTCTTACTTTGTTTTTTCATTCTATCATAATATTTTTATTGAATTTCTAGCCAGTACTGGACACTGAACTTGGCTCTGGGAATAGAAGAGAAAATAAGGCAAGAGAAGGTTCCTGCCCTTATGAGTCTTATATACAATTTAATAAATCATACCATACTTGCTTCTATGAGAAAACTACTCTCCCAAATAGGATCTCCAGCTATGCTAAGAAAGGCCTATACAAAGCTGAGGATTATATAATAGTGTTATAGAAATGAACAACCTATACCAGAATTGTCCCCAAGAAAGCCATTTCACGTTGGATACAAGGGAGCTCTAAACTCTTGATCAATCTACAAGTGTCTAAAATGACACAGTAGTCCATTATCCTCATTAGAGAAATATAAGAAGCTTATTAACTTTCTCAAAAACTGTTTCAATTCTCACAACTCTTCGGTGGGTACAACCTTTTAATTGTAGCACCTGGTACCAGAGAATTTTTATTGTTGTTGTTGGTTTGTCTTTTTTGTTGTTATTGTTGTTTTGGACAAAATCGGTGCTGTTTGATAAACAGCAGGACACAATATGAAACCCCAAAGGCTTGTGCTTCAACCAGAGCCAAAGCAATAAAAAGAAAATTTAAGCTTCTCTATATAATAAAAGGATAGGAATTTTATATTTATTTCTTGATACTGCTCCAGGCTCCTGAGAGAAAAGTACAGATAGAAGAAAAGGAGGAACAGCAGCAAGATAGATGCTTGAATACAGGAAATGAAAGTCAGTAAGAAATGTCCAGAGCTGGTGGGGCTCATGTGACAAAGAACTGACATGTCTTACATACGATTTAATCTGTGCGACTCAAAATCTTCTGTAAAAATCAATTGAAAATCTTTTTCTGTGTGTTTCTGTGTTCCTGTCAATTTGTTTGTGGAAAACAGTGGAGGGAAATCCATTTCACATGAGAAGTACTCAGTGAGGAACAGGCAGAAGGGAAAGTAAGAAGCAGATAACCAGGACAATGTCAGCTAACCACCCATCCGCAAACGTCTTTAACAGAACTTTCATTTCCCTTCAGGTCTGAATTAGAGTTAAAGTCCATCTCATGTGCATAGGTCCTAGATTTCTCCCATGATAGCTTCACAGCAAAATCAACATGAGATGTACCTGTAGGTCAAGTGTGTTTCATGTGACACCCAAAAATCAATGACCAGAGCAAAATGTTTTCACTACTTTGAAATTTAAAATTAGTTTTCAAATGTATGCCACCTCCATTAATTCTCCTGAGAAGGATTTGTGTGGTAATAATAAAACAGGTGCCATTTATTCTTATTTTACAGCTGAGAAATGGAAGTCCAGAAAGAATCACAGAGATTTGTCAAAGGTCACGTGCCTAGAGAATGAAGTTGTTTATGAACCCAGACTTTGTCAGTCTTAATACTAAATGCTGTCCATTATTGTTCTATTGTTGAGTAGATTTTAATAACAATTGTCCTGACCACAATTACAGGAAAAATTCATTTATATCTTAACTATGAAAGATATAATTAACATATTCTTAAATTCAAAAGAAGAATTTTCATAAAAGTTTCTAAGTGTGAAAACTAGGTCATTTGCATATTTTTCTTTGACTTACATACCTAATTGCCAGAGTATCTGCATTTTTCTATCTGATTTTGCCAGCAAACCCAATTCATCTACATATTCCTGTTAGTCTAGTTACTGAAAATGGGTGATTTTTCCCACCCATAATTAGAATTAACTTCAGCATCAACACACTTCAAGAAAGGGAATTTTACAGACCATAAAGAGGAAATATTTTCAGACTCCAAGCTTGTCATTGCTTTTAAACAATGAGTAGGTGTTCTGATATTCTTCTCAGCTTGCCCAAGACTACATAAAGCAGGGTTAACATTAAAGGTATTTTAATAACACATTCATACGTAAACTTAGAGGTGAATAAAGAGGATTTACATTTGAATGTACTAATATTTTAACCCAGGTATGTGGCACTAACAGAATGTACATTCTCTTTCAATTCTCTTAATATATATCTCCTTTGATTGAGTTTGATATTAAATCTTTAAATTTAGAAATACAAAAAGATAGAAACCTGATTTATTGAAGAGGTTTTCAACCTATGTAACTGACACTCTGCAAATGCTCACAAGAAGACCTTCGGGATTCTGAGTTTTTTGTGTTTGAATCGCTGTTAATCTGAAAGAAAATGAAAATGAAATACACATCAGTTTACAGTTAATTCATTGTCTGCATGATCCACATATCTTTGCAGTTACTTTTACCTTTATCCTGAATATCATGACCAAGACAGCCTTACTATCCCCCTCAGTTTGACTCAACTATAGGTAGGCTTCTTCCTGATCTTAGGTCCCTGAACTCCCTTTCCTTAGAACATTAACTTTAGGGCATTTTTAGTCGTAAATTGTTTCTCTGCCCCTTTGAGATATAAATCTTCTCTCAGCCTCTTACAGCTTTATAACCTAGAGTGTCTTTCTCAAGGCTCTGGATGTCATTCCTTTCAAATGTACTCATCAGATGAGATGCCACTCCTATCTCCCAGCCTCTGTGGGAGGGTAGGAGCTTAACATCCTTCAATTAGCAAACATCTAATCACATTGACCCCAATGTTGCTTCCCCCAACAATGTCTAGTACTTCACTACTTGCTCACTCCAGTGCCTGAAAACCACTCTTGCTTTTTGTTTCAGTGGAGCTGAGTTCAATCTTCCTCCCTCATTGCGATGGTCTAGAATAAAGTCTTTCTTGCTTCTTTAACTCTCTCTGGTGCAAGTTTCTTTGACAACCTCCATTACTGTTACTGCTATCTTTTTTGGATCACTTACCATGTGCTAAATACTTCCCGAAGTGCATCACTATAGGGTGTCTTATTTAATATTCACAATAACTTACAGCTCATTCTTGGTCCCATTTTACAGATAGGGGGAACAAAAGCACATGAGTTAAGTAACAATATCTTATCTGTAAAGGGGAACCTAGCAGTTTTCAGAGAGGAGGCAGGTTGGGAGGTGGAGAGAAGGAAAAAAGGAGAGAAAGAGGAAAGAGTGAGGATGACAAAGAAGAAAGAGAGATCTAGGAAACACAGAGAAACAGAGGCATAGAGACAGAGAAAATATGTGAATAGGCAAATACTTACCTTCCCTGGGAAATTCTGGATCCTGGGCCAAATCACATTGCCTCTACCTACTGGTCATGTTCACATAATGTTTTTAAGGAAATAGAACAGTAATCATTAAGAGAAAGCATAGGCCTCAAAATTGAGTTAAGATTTCAAATCAAGCTTTAGCAGAGTTCTATCATGAGAAATAATACAGGAAACTCAGCTAATAATAAGGGGGTAGATTTATTTCTCATCCTTTGTATATCTTAGTTGTGTCATTTTACTGGGCACCTCATGATTTAGAGAGGAGATGGGCAGCAGAGGATTCAATTCAACTCTCCTTTGTTCTCTGGATATGAGAGGCCAATAAATGAATAAATAAATGAATAAATAAAAATAAATAAATAAACAAACAGCTGCACAACAACCCTTATTTTAACCCCTAATGCACAGCATCTTGGCCGCCTATTTTTCTCTATTCAAAACATTGAATCCTATATAAATACAATATCAGTAGTCTAGTGCACATATGTGGATCCGATATGCAAACCTGAATTACCCTGATCTATTAGAGCCCAAATCCTGATTTTACCATTTTCCACAGTTATACCCATGGTTGGTGTGGACACAGTTATGACAATGTTACATGTAATATCTTTTTCTTTTTCTCCAAACACTCATGTGTGTGTGTGTGTGTGTGTGTGTGTGTGTTTGAATGTGAACAAGATCTGCTTTTCTATAGACTTCCAAGCACCCAGATATCCACCTTCAGACACTTTTTGTATTCTACGTTTAGATGGTTATAATCTATACCTTTCTCTAGAAGCGTGTCTACATGTCCCCCTGACCATACCGTAATGAAACTGCATTATTTGCATGATAGAAGAGTACTTCTTCTATACTTCTTACCACAACATAACTGACCCACTTTTCTTTTTATAGCAGAATTTGCCTATAATGATTTCTTCTTCTAAATGAAATATATCCTTTGACTTTGTTTTCCATCTCTATTTTATACCTAATGGTCAGTATCTGAAAGAATCATAGAGCACTTGAAAGAACTTCCAGAAACAATGTGTCTTAGGGAGGAAATTCTGAGTGGGTAGTAAAGTCTGACTTTGCCCTAGGACATAGAGACAATATGTCTAAGCCAGGAGACAGAGAATCCTACCTACCAGAGTTGTGGAATTGTCAGTTCTGTAGCCTGCTAATTCTGGCTCCCACTTTGGAATGGATCTTGCAGATCCATTTCATGGTTCACAATTTCAGGCAATGCTTAACTTAACTCACTAAGACCACCATGTTCTACCTTGTTCCAGAGCGACCTGCCTCAATCTTTAGGATAAGAACTCATGTATGACATATAGGGCTGCCTGGGTGGCTCAGTCATTTAAGCGTCCAATTTTGGCCCAGGTCATGATCTCATGGTTCATGAGTTCAAGACCCACATTAGCCTGGAGCCTGCTTCAGATTCTGTGTCTCTCTTCCTGCCCCTTTCCCGCTCATGCTCTATTTCTCTGTCTCTTTCTGTCTCTCTCTCTCTCAAAAATAAATTAATATTTTTAAAAAATTAAAAAATAGAGAAAGTGCTAGAATATCAATAGTTTCCTAGCCAGTGGCAGTGTCTCGTTTATAGAAAGGGATGGCTGGGAAGAGTGAGTCATGAGAAATGCTTTTTGGTCTCAAGTACTTACTTGCATGTGTTGGGGCCTTTCAATGTTTCAGGGAAATACTGACCCTTTATTTGAGGAAAGGATTGTGAAGAGGGAGTAGTACTGATTCTGTAAAGATCCCTGTGTCAGGAAAGTACCCTGTCCCATATTTTTGTGTCAGCACAAACCACTGCATGTGTTAGTTCTCCCTTGATCTGAAAACTATTAGACCTCTTAGTATATGTCCATGTTCTATCATGGCCCTGCATTAATATAGTGACTCACCTTCTTACTGCTTATTTTAAGGGTTCTCTTGGCTTCTAGGTCCTATAACAGTGAAGAAAATGCAAATAATGTTGGGTGTGTTAGTTCCCTATTATTGCTGTCGTATTACCACAAACTTTGTGACTTGAAACAATAAAAATTTGTTGTCTCACATTGCTGGTGATCAGTAGCCCATACTGGGTCTCACTGGGCTAAAATTAGGGTGCTGTTGAGTCTGCATTTCTTTGTGGAGACTCTAGAGAGGAACTTATTTTCTTACCTCTTAAAACTTCTTAGAGACTACTAGCCTTCCTTAGCTCTTGGTCCACTTCCCCAATCTTCAAAGCCAGCAATGTTGCTTTCTCTGACTGTCCATTTGTAGGCATAACTCTGTCTGACTCTTCTGCTTCCCTCCTCCTGTAAGGATCCTTAGAATTACACTGGGCATACACAGATAATCCAGAATAGTCTTGTACTTATTATTATTATTATTATTAATTATTAATTTTATTTTTAGAGAGAGAGAGGAGAGGAGGAGGGTCAGAGAGAGAGGGAGAGAGAAAATCTCAAGCAAGCTCCATGCTCAGTGTGGAGCCTGATGCAGAGCTTGATCTCACAACTGTGAGATCATGACCTGAGGTGAAATCAAGAGTCTGACACAACTGACTGAGCCACCCAGGCACCTCCAGGATAACCTTATTTTAAAATTGGCTGATTAGTAACCTTAATTCCCCTTTTTCCTGTCATCTAACATATTGACAGATTCTGGGAATTAGCCACATTTGGGGCCTGTGCATGATTCTGCCTCCCACATCAGTCAAGGCAGTCAACCCCACGGTTTACTTCTAGCTCTGCCTATTACAGGCACAAATATCAGCTGTCAATTTTCATTACTTGCTTCTTGCAGTATAATTAGGATACAAGCATCTATGTCAGGCCTGTCATTTTTCTAGTTTCCATTTTTCACTTTTTACTTGATCAACATCTCAATTTCCATCTGTTTTTCATATACTGTGTTTAGTCCTCCTAAAATTCTGTTGCCTGGGAGACACTCACAGGATTGGTAACATGTCAACAAACCTGGAGAGATGTTGTACTTTACTTGGATGTGAAACCCATATTTGGTGTCAGGTAACATAGTTTGGAGAAAAAGATACAAATACGTAAAGAGGCTGCCCTTTCGAGAAGTAGTTAAGGAAAGTGAGATGTTTTTTACAGGTGGTAGTTAAAGGATTTATCTCAGTGACTAAATAGTACAGCCTAAAACAGGTACTTTGTAAGCTGTCATATTTATTCTTTTTAATGAAGCAGAGTTATGATGGCTTTAAAGAAGGTGTAGAATTGTAAATTGAACTATTTAATTATTATATACAAAAGCAGCAGGTGTATGATACAAATAAAAAACTATGGACTAACAAGAAATCACTAGTTGTCACTTCTGTAAAAACAAATGGAGAGCACTGAGCAATTACATAGTCTGGCACTGCCTATCCAAGCACAACGATTTCTGTTGATTGTCTCTTGCAATTAGCATTTTCCATTTCACAAAGCAATTATTTATATTCTTTTTTGTCCTAATGGATTTTATTAATCACATCCATCAACCATACAAACAGCATTTACTAACTCCAGCAGTAAAACATTTAAAAGGTTGTATTTATTTCTTATTCAGAGAGGCAAACACTAATTGAAGATATCTCTAGACACCAGGTCTTACTGTGTGGATCAGGTGATACTGGCAGCCTGGAAAGGGAATAAAGAAACAATCTCTGCAGAAATCAGTTCTGGTTCTCTGCTGAACTCCCCATCTGGATTTCTCTGGTAAGTGCCCCAACCTCCTTCAAAATCATGCATTAAGGGTCTCTGTGTGATAGATGGCTGCAATTAAAAAAAAATTACCATCTGCTATTTGTAAGTCACTCTCCAAGATGTTAGAAGCATATATGTAGATGGATAAGAAATGATAAATGTTCTCAAAAATATCGAAAATAAGAAAAATCCTCGTAGACTAAACAGAATGAAGGTAAACTGTCTGAAGTATGAAAGAGTGGTACCAAAGTGTTCTAGGTGGGTACACATGGGGGGCTGATCATCTGACTTCAGCTGAGGTCACAATCTTATGGCTTGGGAGTTCGAGCCCCACATCAGGCTGGCTGCTGTTGGCGTGGAGCCCCCTTCAGATCCTCTGTCCCTCTCTCTCTCTACCCCTCTTCTGTTTGTGCTTTCTCTTTCTCAAAAAATAATAGATAAACATTTTAAAAAATGTTCTAGGTGTGAATGGATCAAGTGGAAATAAGAGGGATTAATTCCTGGAGGCTAAGATGATCTCTCAGGATAATCTTGAATTTAGTTGATGGTTAGATTTACGACAGAGCATCATTGTGGCTGGGCAGTGAACGTGAGGAATTTTGAAATGTTTAGATAGGAAGAGTGGCTGGCAGAGGCAACATATTTCAAAAGGAATGGGGCTTCTGGGTGGCTTAGTCGGTTAAGCGTCCGACTTTCGCTTGGGTCATGATCTCGCGGTTCGTGGGTTCGAGCCCCGCCTCGGGCTCTGTGCTGACTGCCAGCTCGGAGCCTGGAGCCTGCTTCAGAGTCTGTGACTCCCTCTCTCTCTGACCCTCCCCGGCTCACGCTGTCTCTCTCTCTCTCTCTCTCTCCTAGAAATAAATAAAAATATTAAAAAAAAAAAAAAAACCAAACACAAAAGGAAGAGTAAGCAGCAATGCAGGGTTGAGAGAAGTCTTGAGGTACATTCAGGAAATGCTGAATGGGAGCAAGAGTCTCCACCTGCTTTTTCTTCATCCACACATGTCTCTGGATACAATTCTTCACATTGTAGCTATACTGATCTTTCTAAAAATGCAAATATGATCCTGCCCTTCTCCATCTTAGAAATCTTCAATAGTTGGGGCACCTGGGTGGCTCAGTCAGTTGAGCGTCCGACTTTGGCTCAGGTCATGATCTCACGGTCTGTGGGTTCAAGCCCCACTTTGGGTTCTGTGCTGACAGCTCAGAACCTGGAGCCTGTTTCGGATTCTGTGTCTCCCTCTCTCTCTGCCCCTCTCCCACTCATGTTCTGTCTCTCTCTGTCTCAAAAATAAATAGGCTATAAAAAAAATTTTTTTTTAATCTTCAATAGTTTCCAATTGCTTTCAATAAAAACTGATAAAGATCCAATAAAGCCTTAAACTGTCCCCACACTTACATGACCTGGCCCCTATAGAAACTTCCAGCCTCATTTCTTACTTCCACTTATATCAGGAGTCCTAGTAACATGCTTTAGACCACTGCATATATTGACTTCCATTGGTACAGAATCTACATGGTCTTATTGATGATTTCCATGTTTTTATCTACCTCTCCACAGCTATGATGACTCAGTTTTCTATAGTTCTCTTTAGTCCTGATTTTGCAATCCTTGAGGATTCTTTAGGGCTCTAACTTCAAGGTAGTAAGCACATTTTATATCCTCAAGGGACTGTGCCTGCTCCTTACTACCTTAAGATCTCCTTATTTGCTTTTCATCCTACTTAGAATGATCTCACTCCCTCTAGTACCTACTCATCTTTAGAGGAGAGCCCAACCCTTGTTTCTTCAGGGCACTTCTTTGACACCAAAGATTTGATTAAATCCTTTGGTTATATGACTTTGATGCAATTGTATGTTTCCATTACTCATTAAAATTCCAACTAAAAACAAACTTGGAAAATTGTCTGCAATATTTAACTTTCCATCAAGGTAGTAAATCTATGTTTTGGGAGACAGCATATGTCTTGTTAAAATTGTATCCTGTGTAGTGGCATAGTGCCTGGCAACTGTAAGTCCCAAATAAATGTTATTAAAAATGAATGTATGAACAAATGAAGATATGATTAGGAGGACAGGCTAGATACAGATTGGAAAGGACCTTGAGTTTGCTACTAAGGATTCTGTGTAGAAAATAGGACATCTACATTTGTAAAAATATCTTGTAAGCTGAAACAAATGCTTGGATATGAAAGAGGAGGGCTATTCAATAAATTATAACTCCCTTTTCATCAGGCTGGAGTCCTAAATCAACTTAAGATAGATACAGAAATCTGACACAAATTCTTTTCTGTTTTCTGTGTATATAGACATTCAAGTTCTTGTTTTCCACTTCATCTTTTGTCTGTTCTCTATGTCAACATTTTTTCTTATGGAGATCTCTCTTGTTCTAGTTCAATCAGCCCATCTTCCTTTATTGTACTTTCATTCTTCTATTGCTCTTATTTTAATAGTAACAATGAAATCTATTTTTCCCCAAACTCCAGCCCCTCCTTGTTTTTCTGTGCAGGTATCTGATTCCTGGAGACATAGGTCTTTTAAATGGTCTTTCTTAAATTTTTCATTTGCAACACTTTAATTTTTACTTGGCTTTTTAAGAAAAATTTTATTGTGACAAAATCATTTAATGTGAGATCTACCCACTTACAGATTAAGTACACAACATTATATTGACATCTGTGCACAATGTTGTACACCAGATCTCTAAAACATATTCATCCTGCATAACTGAGAATTTATAGCTGTTGATTAGCAACTCCTCATTACCCCTGTCCCCAGACCCTGACAAACACAATTCTATTTTTCACTTCTATGAGATGGACTATTTTAGATACCTCAAAAGTGGGATTTTACAGTATTTGTTCTTCTGCCACTGGCATATTTCCCTTTGTCCAATAATGTCTTTCAGGTTTATCTATATAGTGTCATATTGCAGGAATTCCTTCTTTTTTAAGGCTGAATAATATTCAGTTGCATGTATACACACATTTTTTTAACCCATTCATGTGTGAACGGACATTTAGGTTGTTTCCACATTTTAACTTTGTGAACAGTGCTGGAATGAACACAGGAGTGCTAATATCTCTGTGAGATTCTGATTTCTGTTCTTTTGCATAAAGAGCCATAAAGGGGACTGCTCGATCATATGTACTTCTGTTTATAATTTTTTGAGAACCCTTCATACTGTTTTCAGTAGCAACAGAAGTATTTTACATAGTCAACCACAGTGTACTAGAGTTCTAATTTCTTCACATCTTCACAAACATTTGTTCTTTTTTGTTTTATTGATAATAACCCTACTAATAGATATGAAATGCTAGTTCATTGTGATTTTGATTTGCATTTCTCTGATGATTAGGGACTTTGAGCATCTTTTCTAAATGTGAGACAGAAAACCATCAAAATCCTACAGGAGAAAACAGGTAACAACCTCTTTGACCTTGGCAGTGGCAACTGCTTACTTGATATGTCTCTGGAGGCAAGGGAAATAAAAGCAAAAATGAACTATTGGGACCTCATCAAGATAAAAAGCTTCTGCACAGCAAAGGAAACAATCAACAAAACTAAAAGGCAACTGATGGAACAGGAGAAGATATTTGCAAATGACATATCAGATAAAAGGTTAGTATCCAAAATCTATAAAGAACTTACCAAACTTAATACCCACAAAACAAATAATCCAATGAAGAAAGGTTCAGAAGATATGAATAGACACTTTTCCAAAGAAGACATCCAGATGGCCAACAGACACATGATAAAATGATCAATATCACTCATCATCAGTGGAATATAAATCAAAGCCAAAATGAGATACCACCTTACACCTGTCAGAATGGCTGAAATTAATAACTCAGGAAACAACAGATGTTGGCAAGGATGTGGAGAAAGGGGAAACCTTTTGCATTGTCGGTAGGGATGTAAACTGGGGTAGCCACTCTGGAAAATAGTTTGGAAGTTCCTCAAAAAACTAAAAATAGAACTACCCTATGACCCAGCAACTGTACTACTAGGAATTTATCCAAAGGGTACAAAAATGCTGATCCAAAGGGGCACATGCACCCCAATTTTTATAGCACCATTATCAACAATAGCCAAATTATGGAAAGGGCCCAAATGTCCACCAACTAATAAATGGATTAAGATGATGTGGTATATAGGGGTGCCTGGGTTGCTCAGTCAGTTAAGTGTCTGACTTTTGCTCAGTTCATAATCTTGCAATTCATGATTTCAAGCCCCGTGTTGGATTCCATGCTGACAGTTTGGAGACTGGAGCCTGCTTCAGATTCTGCGTCTCCCTCTCTCTCTCTGCCTCCCCATGCTCTCTCTCTCTCTTTCTCAAAAATAAAGAAATGTTTAAAAAGTTTTTTAAAAGATGTGATATATATACACAATAGGATACTTCTCAGCAATGAAAAAGCATGAAATATTGTCATTTGCAACAATGCGGATGGAACTGGGCAGTATTATGCTAAGTAAAATAGAGAAAGGCAGATATCATATGATTTAACTCATGTGGAATTTGAGAAACTCAACAGATGAGCAAAGGGGAAGGAAAGGAAAAATAAGATAAAAACAGAGAGGGAGGCAAACCATAAGACGCTCTTAAATACAGAGAACAAATTGAGGGCTGCAGGAAGGGGGTAGGTTAAATGGGTGACATGCATTAAAGAGGGCATTTTCTGGGATGCGGACTGGGTATAATATGTAAGTGTTGAATCCCTGGGTTCTATTCTTGAAGCAAAGACTACACTGGGTGTTAACGAACTCGAAAATATACAAAAAATAAAAATAATAAATGATAAAATGACTTTTCACAATTTCATTATAATGCTCCTCAATGTGGATTTGATTCATCTTATTTGGAATCTTTAAAGTTTTCTGGATTTTGATGTACATTTTCTCTTACAGATTTGGAAAGTCTTCAGCCATTAATTCCTTGAATATGCATTATAGTCCTTTCTCTCTCTCTTTTCCTTCTGAGACTCCCATCTACTTGATGGAGTCTTAAAAATCCCTTAAGCTACCTTCACTCTTTTTTATTTATTTTTTTTCCTTTTTGTTTCTCTGACTGGGTTTTTTAAAAATTGAATTCACTTTGAATTCACTGATTCTTTCTTCTGTTTGCTTTAGTCTGCTGCTAAACCCCTCTATGGAATTTTCTAGTTAATTTATTATATCTGTCAGCTCTAGAATTTCTCTTTGGTTCTTTTCCAGATTTCCTCTTTGTTAAATTTCTACCTTCTGCCTTTGCTCATGTATTGCTTTTTTGAAGTCATTGATAATTTTTCTGTAATTTGAATTCTCTATCCAGTAAAATATACCCCCAAGTTATTAGAGTTGGTTTCTTTGTTTTACTTTGTTCCTTTATTGGAGGAAGAAGGTATTCATTTTTCTTGACTCTTTGTTGATATATACACATTCAAGAAACTGCCACTTCTCCGAGTCTTCCCCAGAATGGCCTCATATTGGAGAAAATCTTCAGCAGTTAATGTGGCCTGAGCTTTTATGGGCCTCTTAAAGCTTTGTGCTTGTCCAAATTGCCATCCTTGTTCTTTGCTGCCCCAAGGCATCTAAAGTATGTCAGGTTCCATCAGTGCTCTGACACAGGCAAGACAGAAGCCAATATTTCAAGTAGCTCCCAGAGAAGTTGGAATCTAGGTGTGCAGTCCAACTCCTTCCATCCTCACAGAGAAGCTAGAAGATTGATTGCTTTTATTGCCTATTCACTATTGTGCTAAACTATAGAAGAGAGAAACTGAGGCATGTGCCTGCCTACTAGTTCAAATTACCACTTTACTCTCTGTAGTCCCCCAGGAATGAGCTTAAGCTGAGATTGAAACAAGCAAGATAGAAGACTGACAGTCTCCAGGTTGAATCTGGAAAAGTTGGGACATTATATGTGTAGTTCAACTCTTTTGCTCCTCACAGGGAAGCTGTGAGTGTATCATCATTCACTCTGTGCTAAGCCAAAAAGAAGAGCCATGGTGAGCACATGCATGCTAGTTCTAACTGCCACTTTGTTCTCGGTAGCCCCTGGGGAACTAGTGTATACCAGACTTCATCAGCTCTCCCTGAAGAAGGTACAAGTCAGTCCTGTAGGTAGCATCCAGACAAGTTGGGATGCTAGATATTTAGTGCAACTCATTCACTCCTAAGGGAGAATGTGGGACCTGGAGGCTCTCTCCCAGTCATGGGGCAATGTGATAGGGGTGGGGATTGTGGTAAGAGTCTGTCTCTGCTTTTGGTGCTGGTTTCTATGTTGCGACTTTCACATTTCTGTGGGGTACAGGGGCCTCTTAGTGAGTTTCTGGATTTTTCACAAATGCAGTTGATCCATTTGTTGCTATTGAATTGGTGTGTCTCTGGTAAGAAGAGTTTAGGATTTCCTATTAACCATCTTGGTGATATCACTCCCTCAGAACATTTTTATTGAGTTATTTCTCTGCTTAACCTTCTCTTGGTAAAAGCCTTAATTTCTAGTCCCTTAAATATAAAAGCATGACAAGTTCTGAGTTTAATTAACATATTTGAGGCTGTCTGGTTCAACATTACCCTTAAGAACCTGGAGAAGCAGCAGTTCTTTCTCTTGGCCTTGAGGTAATTAAAAACGACATTAAAAAGGAACAGAATTCAAAGCAGGTCATTTAGCATTACTTATCTCTATTGGATAATAATAATTGAAGCCTCAACCTCTAATGTTCTATAGCACTTATAGATTTTAGACACTTTTGAAGTTTAAAGTCCTAGTCTCCTGATGCATATATGGCCAAAACCTCCAATAAAACTGTAATTAAGAATTTACTTTTTGCAAAGTGAGCTTTCCCTGGGAATAAGAGTCTCTTTTCTAATAATCCTTGCAGCCACTGTGCTGATGGCACTGGTACCTGAAGAAGTCAGGGTTAAGCTGCAGGGACTATACATCAAGACCCCTGCATCTAGGTCTATGGAGTCCTGTGCCATGGCCTGAACTTGCTGGGGTCCATTTCAAATACAAACAACCAGCTTCCTGGGACCCACACTGTCAAACTGTAGGACTCTGCCAATTTCAAAATTTGATAAATCATATTTACCAGTCAAATTTCTACATTTCTTTCTGCTTGTAAAAGTAAGAAATCATCTCCACACCTGTAAAAATCAGTCATCTGGAACAACAGATCCACTACAAATTGTGAAGGTTAAAACCACTCAATACTGATTTCACTTAAGCTAATGCCTTGAGTCATAGTACCTGCTTGTACCTGTTATTTGGCTCTCAAAATCTACTCCTTAACTTTTCGCAAAGTCTCCAGCCACTTTTCCAATGTTTCTATTTTAGAGGGCCTATGAAGTAAAACTTGTGTTTGTTCTGTGTCTGAATTGTGAACTGTTTAAAAGGCACAAGGGTTTAGCAGATAAAGATAAAAATATAAAACTATTGCTGATATTAGTTATACTGGGATATGTGGTTTACATATTTTACCCCACACACCCCCAAAAGGAAAAAAATATCCAGGACTGTCCCATTCAACCAGAGCCTGTTCTAATAAGGCTAACCAGTTTGGGGAGAGCAGACTAGACTGTACCTTTACACAAGTAACTGTGTCCTCTATTTCTCTCCGATTCTCTCTCTCTTTCTCTCTCTCTCTCACACACACAGGCATGGAGGAGAGAGTGGAGTCATATAAGTAAAATATTATCCTATTATAAAATCACTCCTCCTCCTCTAGGGAACAATTAACAAAATATGGCCCAAAGTACAAGTAATGTTCTCATGTGGCAACATGAGGGATGGGAAAGTGGTATTCCTTCCTAATCATGGGAACAGAGAATCACATTGTGGCTCTAATATAAAAGGTCTATTTCCTTAATGCATCTACTCGAATAGCACGGATTAGGTTAAGGTAAGGGTACTAGTTATTGACTGGATCATAGAATGGAGACAAACATCAGGGGATTAAGGGAGGAAATGTTTTCATCTGAGATGAAAATTGTTAGGTTAATCTGCTACAGTTTACTGGAGGAAGCCAACCCCTAAAGAGCAACTGACCCCAGAAAGGTAAAGTATACTAAGAATCCTTCTATAACTAGCGGGAAATGACACTGGCAATAGATCCTTTGACTATGATGGACAAACCAGGATTTTATGTTGAATTTGGAGTTGAAGTTAGATAACTGTTACTCTAAGGATGAAACTCTTAACCTCAAATCATTGCTGCCTTTCTGAATCTGTCCACTAATGTAAATATATCCTAATGCTTTGAAATAGAGAAATTACAAATCTATTACCTACAACTGAGAACCCACCCTCCATTTTGATGTTCCCTTCCCTTAGGCAGCTTAGGTCTTTTTAAAATTATTCACCAGGGGCGCCTGGGTGGCTTAGTCGGTTAAGCGTCCGACTTTCGCTTAGGTCATGATCT